TATTTGTTTTTTTAACAAAGCAGAATAGGTCTCAATATTCAAAACCAAGGGGAAAAAAATTCATGTTCCAAATGTATTGACTGTTGTTGTTGTTAAGTGCATCTCAAGTTGGTTCTAACCCACAGCGACCCTGTATAAGGTTTCTGAGGAGCAGGTGGTGAGCTTGAACTGCCGATCTTGTGGGTCAAACCAACCTTGTAGTCCAGCGGATTGCCCCACAGCACCACACCATGACTCCATATTGACTGTAGCTTATGCACAAAAAGGAACATAATACTTTGCTTCTAAAAGAATCTCATTGTACTGATACCTCACTTCAACTTAATTCTGAAGCATGACCCCTGATTTTTTTTTCATACTTTGATATTACTGACATTTTATACTCTGATATTATTGTGATTTCATATAAAGTTATTTGAGACCCCATCTTTTTAATATCCTTTAATCATTGTCCTATTTGTTTTTCTGCTGCAAAAGATCTCTTTAAAGTATTAAGGAGCAAAGATGTCATTTTAAGGGCTAAGGTGCACCCAAGCCATGGTATTATGAATAGCCTCATATGCATGTGAAAGTTGGATAATGAATAAGGATGATCAAAGAAGAATCAATACATTTGAATTGCAGTGCTGAAGAGGCATACTGAAAGTATTATGAACAGCCAAAGGACAAACAAATCTGTTTTGAAAGAAGTAGACAAGAGTCATAAGGCTCCTTAGAAACCAGGATGGCAACACTTCATCTCTCATACTTTGGACATGGTATCAGGAGGGACCAGTCACACTTAGTAAAGCAGAGGGTCAAGTGAAAATAAGAAAGACCCATCCCCCCCCCCCAACAAAATGGATTGACACAGTAGCAGCAACAATGAGCTCAAACATAACAATTGTGAGGATGTCACAGGACTGGAAAGGGTTTTGTTCTGCCCTGCACAAAACTGCTAAGGGTCTGAACCGACTTGATGGCATCTAATAACAATTCCTATTGCCTAATCATCTTCAATAACATAATAGGAAAAAAAACACACAGATGTTTATAGTTTTTTCAATTGCCAAGTTTTTCTTTTTGCTTTCTGTATCTAGATTATGACATTTTACTGAATAAAAGAATAAAATAATATCTAGACCTATGCAGTTTCAGCTTCAACACAAGTTCTTCTGCCTACTTTTGTTACACTTCAACTCCTACTTGAGAGCTGAAAACAGAAACAAGAAGTAATATCTATTCAAACATACACTGTTAGCTTTTCTTTTTTTTAACATATTATTAATGTTATTGTGTTTTTAGTGAAGGCTTACACAGCAGTCTAGGTTCCCATTCAACAACTGCTACATAAGTTGTTCAATGACATTGGTTGTTGGCTTTTCTTTTTAACCTTCATATTAATTTGCCAATGCAAGGAATGATGTCTAAGTTTCAAATGATTCCTTGAGCTATATATATATATAGTACATTCAGTACCTTTTTCATACCCTAGGCTACTAACATATTATTTAAACCATTATATTTTTTTATCTTGGCAAACTCTCATATCCTAAAGAAATGTAGATACAAAGAGCCTTCAAAAAGTTCATGGAAAAATTATCTTTTAATTCCATTTTCCATAGACTTTTTGAAGATTCCTTACATATACTTTAGCCCACAATTTGATGTCTTACTGTATGAAATGCAGGCTTTATTATTTCTGAAAATATAATTCACTGCATTGTGAAAGCTTTCAATTCTGTATGTTGAGTAATAATTCATCTTCACAACGAACAAAAACTAGTTGAAATAAGGATTTTAAAATTACCCTTGGCAAATTGATACTTATGAAAGAGATTTCTAAATTAAAATAAAAGCAGATCTGAATATACTGTATACATTATCTGTGAGTTGGAGCATTTTCTTTATAAGAAAGAAAATATTAACAATATCTATGAAAACTGTGTAAACCGAATGGAAAAAAGTTAGAACAAGGAGTCTTTAGGCCACAGCAGTACTCCTATGTCTTAGAGAATATAAAACTGAGTAATGTAAGAATTCAAGTAAAGTAGGAAACAAAATAATTTAACACAGAAGCACCGAAACTGTGCTAAAAAATAAAAATGAAAATAGTTTTACAGGAGGGGAAGATGAGAAGGTATGATGAAGCACTACCAGACTCCTTACCCATTGCTGTTGGTGTTGGAGCTTCCTGATGGTATTTTCAGCTTGCTCCAGCTTAGCACTGGCCTCATCACTCTGTTGTTTGATGGTGGCCAACTCCCGTTTTATGAGGTAGTTTTCCTCAGCCTCCTGGGCTCTTGTCACTTGTCCCTTAGGACATAATTTTTGTGTGCATGAAGCAATTTAGGATAGATTCAAGAAAGACTGCCATTGTGAGGCTTAGTTATTTACTTAGACATGTTAAAAAAAAAATCACGTCTGAGAAATTGCATGGGCAATTATTAGCTAGCAGTTCATTATTGCTCTGCAAATTTTGGAAAACTAAATGAAAAATTCATCTGACAGTCTTAAAAACAATTCTTTCAGCCAATAATATTCAATGCATGCAATATTACTGAGTTGTACATGCAGGACTAAAATTTTCAATGAAAGTAGTTAATTTCACAGAATCCACTGATTACCATTTGAAATAAATACTTTAATATAAGGTTAGCTTTAAAACGTGCAAAAGGTGATTATTTTAATAAACTAGATAACATATGGCTATCAATAATTAAGTACACCCATATATAACACCCAAAAAATTATTTCTAGAAAAATGCATGTAAATTTGCATGCATCAAAATATGAATTTCTAAGTTTAGGACTTCCTTTAGAAGCAAAGTTAGAGGAAATGCTAAAAAGTACAACTATACCTGTATCAATCTATCTGCCAGGGAAGCACTTTCCTACAAAAGGAAAAATTCAGATAGAAACATAAGAGAAAGAAATAAAATGAAAGTGGTAAAATTAAGAATAAAGAAGGAGCAAAGCACACCCAAATTCCACCTACTTTTCATTGCAGGCTAAGAAGGACATCTAAATTTTAAAACTATATTTTACTGAATAGTTTTTAATTCTTAAACTTTAAGAAAAATACATCAAAACTAGCATGTTGTTGCTGTTGTTGTCAAATGCCATTAAGTCAGTTCCAACTCATAGTGACCCTGTATAGGGTTTTTGAAGAGCGGCTGATGGACATGAATTGCTGACCTTGCAGTTAGAATTCCAGTGCTTATCCTACGGCGCCACAACAGGACTCTAAAAACTCATGTACTTCTAGAAATGGGATCAAACATAAATTCCAAGTGGTTTATCATGACTTGGAACAAGTAAATCTCTTCTTAAAAGTACATGTTTCAATCTTAAAGTCAACCATACTGGCACACCACTTGACATGAAATGGAAGGAAATGAAAGGGAGAAGGAATTTGAGTAGGCATTTCCACTTATAAAGTGTGATAGCAGCTTGTGCAAATAGCAACTTCCAAAGAAATAAAGCAAGGGAGTATGATGAATGAAATCTACCACAAGAGTTAATGAGCTCCATTTAAATTCTAGCAGTTACTGAACAAGTTAAACTTTTTGGTAATAAAATTTAGTTGACACCTAAGTGTTCATAGAATTTTAAGTGATAAGGGACAAACCTTGGTTATCTCAGCCAGTAAAAAGGTAAAATACAATCCAAACTTAACACTTTCCTACAATACCTTTATCATTCTGAAGCTTCAGTGAGATAAAATTACTTTCTCTGAAAATGTCTCACTCTGAAGACAAAAAAATCCCCTATGAAAATGTTTTACTTTTAAATGGGTAGCTAATGAAAACAAGCAAACAAACAAACAAAACCCAGTTTGTAAATAAAATAACTTAAAAACAATTAAGTTCAACCTCTGTGAAGTCACTAAAAAACTAGAATTATTTTCAAAGAAACTCTAATAAGAAAGGAGAAATATCATGAAAACTACGTTAGCCTTTATTATAATATACAGGTAAACTATTATATAACAATAATAAGCATGTAATAAACATCCTGTTCTTATTCAGTGCTACTTAATATCAAATCATCAATGCTTTTCAAACAGAAGACAAATATGATGAATTTCACAGAGGATTTTAAGTTACTTGGTAATATCACAGGGGGTACTTTTAAATCTATTACTCTCTCCTTTTGTAAAAAATAAAAAAAACCCAAACACCAACAGTTTATGAATTCAGATATTTTTTCTTTTAACAAAGCAAAACTCTTAAACTATACCTTTATTACTCAACAATTCTTATAGTCATAAAAAACATGCTATTAAAGATATTCCATCAAAAGTACATTATGTAAAATAACACAAAATTTTCACTTTTACCCCATTATTCTATATGAAACAGAGAAGAAACAATAACAAATTAACACCATAATAATTCTAAAAACCAAAAATTTAAGTGTAATTACCCTATTTGAAAATCAACAAGGTACTAAGTTTTTACATAGCAACCAGTCTATTTGAGTAAAATAAAGCAATTATAGGTCTTATAAGAATCATTGCTACCTTTAACACGTGGCTACAGCGCCAGGATAACATCTGAAACTCATCTTTAGAATGTGGTATCAGGAAAGATTCCCAACTAGATTAATTCTAAAGAACATGACTACTAGAGAGTATATGTAAAGGAAATAAGTGACATCAATATGTTTATTCTGTTAACTCAGTTAAGTCTGAGAACTCAAGAAAGACTAGTACTACTAACTTTTTATTAAAGACAAGTTAGTTAAGCAGTAAGCAGGCAAGCTAAGCAGTCAATACCACAATTTAGGAGACAACTGCTGAATTTTTGAGGCTTTACTAAAATATACAGAAAAATATATATGTAATTAACAGAAGCTTGCATAAGTAGTCATTTACTTACTTTTTCTAACGTTTCAATGCGTTGCTTTAAAAGTCTATTTTCTGTGCGTAACCTCTGCAAAACAAAACAAAACAAAAACCTTTGTTTGCAAGTACTACTGGGAGAGAAAAAAATAAAAAATCTAAGTCACAGTTCTTACACCACCTCTTATAAATAACAATATGCAACAATATAAAGAATAGTGACAAACTTTATCATCAGTCAAATTCTTAAAGGTTCAAAGTAAAAAATACATGGCAAAGGAAACTTACCACATTTATTATTTCAGCTGTGATTAAATTTTAAGTTTAAGCTAAAATGGTACTATATACTTACCATAATGAGTTTAATCAATGTTACCTTATGTCATCTTCCCCATTAGATAGAACTGATTATAACTTGCTTAACTCCTACCTCAACTATCTATCTATATAATATATATATGGAAACTTCAAAAAGTTCATGGAAATTTTTCATTATTTTTTAATTCAATTTTTTTGTGAACTTTTTTAAGCACCCTCATTTATATAACTTTTACTTTATGGAAAGATGTTCGTTGTTATGTATTGTTGAGTCAATTGATTCATAATGACTCTGTATGACAAAGGAGAACTCCCTAGTTTTTCCTAGGCTGTAATATCTATACACCATCCGGTCTTCGCTCCCACAAAACCGTTGGTGGATGTGAACCTAAGATCATTTGATTAGCAGCCAAGCATTCAACCATTCTACATAGCTAATTCTAAAATGTCTGCTGATAAAGAAATAATTGGTCAAGGTCTTTAAAAAGCTGTCAAATTACAGTCAACAAGTAAGTATTAAATCCAAATAATTCTACATAGTAATTTTCTTTTTGCATATAATAAGCACTGGACTGCCAAGCAGCTCCTAGGGAAATAGATGAGGCTTTCTGCGCCAGCTAAGTTATAAGGCCTTGGAACCAGGGTCACTATGAGTTGGGACTGATTCAACAGCACTTACCAGTATCATTCCTTCTGGTGGGAGCATAATGGCTCAATATCGTAAGCATTGGACTACAAATCTCAACATCCGCAGTTTGAGCCCACCAGCCACTCCAAGGGAGAAAGATGAAGCTTTCTGCTCAGGCAAAGATTTAAAGCCTCAGAAACCCTACACAAAGTCGCTGTGAGTTGGAACCCACACGATGGCATTAACAACAATCCCTTCTGAAATGGCAAAGGTCCTCTTACCTTTTTGAACCAATTTGCTTCAGTGCTCAATCCAGAGTTTATACAACCCTACTTCTGCATCTCTGCAAAAACTTTCTTCCTCAGCAAATTCTTTCAATTTAATTATTTTATCAGTCAAGACAATATAGTTTTATATAGCTTATAAAGCCTCATTTCAAGAATGACTCTATGAATTATTGCATCTAAAAATCAGAACAAAAATCTTTTTATTCCAAAGATATGTCATAAAACTGGACTTTGTTTTATTAACTAGACTATATTTAGATTATCTGAAATGTACATTATGTTGTGTGTGACCCCAGGCTAAAAACTAACAGCTGAAGGAGAAGAAAATGTTTCTTATATCCTGGCTCCCCCTCCTACTATGTGCAGCACAGTAGCTACACAAACCAATAATTAATAAACATTCTTAGACCTTGGAAGTCAAAGACGCAATTATGATTATCAAAATGATTTCAATATATCTCACTGGAAAAAAAGGGGGGGACAACATTTTGGTTATACTAAAAGACTTAGGTTCCAACCAAACAACTGAGTGGACAAAGTTAATGTTACAATAGTAATAATTACAAAATTTAGAATTAAAAAAATTCTCCAAGATTTTCCTTCCCATGCCATCCTTAACTCTTTAAATTTCTGAAACCTATTTTGCTATGTTGATTTTCCCCCAAAACATCTGCCTACGTGTTGGCAATAATTAAAATAAATCAATCCTTCCTCATTTATATGTGATACCTGGTGTGGCGCTGTGGGTCAATGAGCTGAACTGCGAGGTTAGTTTGAACATGAGTTGGTAGTTCAAACTCACCAGCTGCTTCTTAGAAACCCTATACAGGGTCCTATGTGTCGGAACCAATTCACACTTAACAACAACCTACTTCATTATGAATTGATAAATTTAACAGGCAGTTTCACAGTTACCAAGTTCAAATGTTTCTGTCTGTTCTTTGGTCTAGTATAAGTATTTTGGTAATTATGACTTTACAACCCCTTTGAATACAAGGCAGAGCTAATTTCTCCCATTCTTAATATTGATTTCTTTGCCCCTAAGTCCGAATTACTAGTATACCAAAGTAGTTAAGAGACTAGGTTTTGAAGTTACGGAGATTTAGACTCAATTGCTGCTCTATATTTAATACCATTGAATATCATAGAATCTCCATTTCCTCATATTAATAATGAGTAATAATACCTAAATTGTCTTTTAAGAAATAAATGAGAGCACTAGTGTGTGTGTGTGTGTGTGTGTATATATATATATATATATGAGAGAGAGAGAGAGAGAGAGAGAGAGCGAGTGAGCTCTGGTAGCATAGTGGTTACGAATTGGGCTGCGAACCTTAACGTCAGCAGTTCGAAACTACCAGCCGCTCCACGGGATAAAGATAAGGGTTTCTGCTCCCGTAAAGATTTACAGCCTTGGAAACCCTGTACAGGGTCGCTATAGGTCGAATCCAACTCGACAGCACTTAACAACAACAAATACATATATATGTGTATGGATATACATACATGTGTGTACATATATACACATATGTACGTGTATATATATACATATGTACATACATACACACACATATATATATACATACACACACACACAACATATACCTAATATGGGAGTCCTGGTGTGGCACTGTGGGTTAATGCGCCAGACTGCAAAGCCATTTGAACTGCAAGGTTGGCGGTTCAAACTCACCAGCTGCTCCTCAGAAACCCTATACAGGGTTGCTTTGGGCTGGAACTGACTCGACAGCACTTAACAACATATGCCTAATATGTACTTTAATGACAGGCATTGCTCTTATTATTTTTTGTTCTTATTTTTAAGTTATATTTCTACCTGTTTTCAAAAATTCTTTACACTTTTTTATCCCACTGGAATTAATATGTACTTTGTGGAAATTTTTCGATCTTTATACAACATGAAGTTTTTCCATCAAGTAATTTATTTTTGTCTGATCTTTTAATCACATCTTTTAAAAACGTTCATGTGTAAATTTTCCTAGCATTCCTATAGGTGCTATATGAACCTAAAAACAACAACAAAATACTATAAATTTACTTCTTTGTTTATAGTCTTTCATACCAAAATGTATGGGTAGAAATTTGTCTGTTTCATAACCAATATATCAAGAGCCTAGAACAGTGTCTGGCATGTAGTTGGGTACTATAAGTCTCAGTTAAATGAATGAATTATTGGATAATTTTTGTTTTGTTTCCCTTACTGTATATTATATATCCACTAGTTTTTCAAATGAAAATCTTTTAGTGCCATAGAAAACTGGTATCCTAATCCTGCCAACATCACTAAGATATCAAAATCGCTCTTGAAAAGTAGTACTTCCAGATCTGAAGGATACATATAACCTCAACATAAAATAAAAACCCAATCTTTGAGTTTCACTACTGTCTAGAATTGTGACCAATGTCATTGTTTGAGCTTTTTGAAGCTTAGTTTCTTCATTGAAGGATGAAGGTAAGAACCTTCTCATAAAGCTATTATAAGAATTAATGGGAGATGATGCTTTCACGCAGCAGCCCATCATAATACTGATAAATAAATGTCAGTCCCAATTCTAGATCTCCACATTGATTGCTAAATAAAACTCCTAAACAACTCTGATATCTGTCATGTTTTCATTCTTATGCCAGTCAGTGGATAAACAGACCTCTTTTACATTATCCTCTGGTTTTTACACAACTAAAATAGTTAAAAAATTTTAAAACAGGAAAAATCTTTAGCATTTCTAACATATGTAGGACTTTAGATCTCTATGTCATAAAGCACAAATGCAAACATGGAAATTACATTAGCAATTTCTTAACCTGCATTAGATTGAGGGAGATAAAGGCTTTTCCTTTGTAAAGATTTGTGAGGTTACACTATTATAAACTAGAATTTTATTATTTCTTACCTCCTCACCCTTAGTTGCTCTGGTAGCGTAGTGGTTACAAATCTGGCTGCTAATCTCACGGTCAGCAGTTCGAAACTACCAGCTGTTCCATGGGAGAAAGATGAGGCTTTCTGCTCCCGTAAAGATTTACAGCCTCGGAAACCCTG